GTGCTGAGAGAGCGAGACTCCTTCTGGGAGGCTTCCAGCTCAGCCTGCGTTTCCTCATACTTCTGCTTCCACTCCGCCAGGATCTGAAGAGAAATGTAGTGTGAGTATGGATGTGGCAATCAGGAGGGCACGCTCTGTCCAGGAACCCCCCATGAAGAGCCCAAAAGACCTTGTCAAAGTTCTTCTGCTTCTTATCCAGAGCTGCGCAGGCAGCGTTGGATCTCTCCACGTCAATCATCAAGTCCTCCACTTCATTCTGCAGCCTCTGCTTTGTCTTTTCCAGGGAGGCACATTTGGCATTCACAGCTTCGACGTGTTCCTCTGCATCCTGCAGCCGCTGTGCCAGCTTCTTCCTGGAGGAGATAGGCAGAGCTCCCGGTTAGAGCTTAGAGGGGAGACAATGTTGCACTGCTCATGAGAGTCTTTGTCCTAGCACCTACCAAGCATTTGGCTTGTCTTAGACTTTCTACCGATAAAGGCTGTGTTTGTCCTTCCAATCTACACTTTTTCCACAGCACCCTTGTCCTCTCCCTCGCTCTCTCCTCTTGACCACAAAGACAGTATATTGCTGCCTTTGTCTCACCCCTGTCCTACCCCACTCTCAGAGTCACCAGTTTCCAATTTCCCTTCACAGTCTCAGTCGTCTCCAGCCATTTGACATCCCACTTCCCACATACTTGGCCTCCTCCAGCTCCTCTGTGCGCTGAATAGCATCCGTTTCATATTTGGTTCTCCACTGGGCCACTTCGCTGTTGGCCTTTGACAGGGCGCGCTGTAGCTCCCCCTTGCCTTCCTGCTCCTCCTCATATTGTTCCCGGAGCAAGTCACAGTCATGGCGAGCAGACTGCAAGGCATGGGCCAGGGCGTTCTTGGCCTGTGGGGACATTGGATTGGTAACCTGAATACTTGGCTTGAGATGATTCTTGACAGTGAAAATTACAGCAAAATTAGAATGAACCTCTAATTAGGTAAATACACAGCTGGGAGATGATGAAGCCGTCATCAATGTGTTCTGGAGAATCAGGATGTGTTACTAACAGGTGCTCTAGGAGCAGTAATCTACTGTGTCTCTAAATGTTTCGACGTATGTGTCTGAATGTTGTCTTAGAGAGTATCGTCAGAATCTCACGAAATCTCACTTCCGCCAGCATCAAAATGATTATGCTTCCTTCCCTCTCCAGTTTATGAGTTGAGGGTTGTGAAGAAGTGGTTTTCCCACCAGTTTGTTTGGGGAAAAAATATTTAATTACTTTTTATTTTAAAATCTAAAATATGATAGGCAAGATTTTCCAGATTCATTTAGGGCTGATGTTGCTTGTTGAAAAAACTGGTTTATCCCCAGAAAAAATCATGTTATACTAAACATTCTCACCTTAACTTCTTCCTCTAGATGTCTCTTGAGTTCCTCGATCTGTTGAGTAAATCCTTGCTTGCCCCTAGAGAGCTGAGAAATCAGAGCATCCTTTTCCTCCACCTGGCGTGAATATTCCCCTGGGAAGGGTAAAGCGGAAAAAAGTAACTAGACTACTAATCACAGAATCACAGAATCACAGAATGGTAGGGGTTGGAAGGGACCTCTGTGGGTCATCTGGTCCAACCCTCCTGCCGAAGCAGGGTCACCTACAGCATTTGTCCAGGCAGGTCTTGAATATCTCCAGAGAAGGAGACTCCACAACCTCTCTGGGCAGCCCGTTCCAGTGCTCTGTCACTCTCAGAGGGAAGAAGTTCTTCCTCATGTTCAGACGGAACTTCCTGTGCCTCAGTTTGTGCCCATTGCCCCTTGTCCTGTCACTGGGCACCACTCAAAAGAGCTTGGCCCCATCCTCCTGACACCCACCCTTCAGATATTTATAAGCATTTATTAGATCGCCTCGCAGCCTTCTCTTTTTAGGGCTGAACAAGCCCAGCTCCCTCAGCCTCTCCTCGTAGGGCAGGTGTTCCAGTCCCCTCGTCATCCTTGTAGCCCTCCGCTGGAGTCTCGCCAGTAGCTCTTCATCTTTCTTGAACTGGGGAGCCCAGCACTGGACACAGCACTCCAGATGAGGCCTCACTAGGGCAGTGTAGAGGGGAAGGAGAACCTCCCTCGACCTGCTGGCCACACTCTTCTTGATGCACCCCAGGATCCCATTGGCCTTCTTGGCAGCCAG